TTCTTGACCTTGGATCACTTGCTGGTTTTGGACCACTTCTTCCGCGCTGATGGCGACCTGCGCCTCGGGGGCCTCGGGACTGGCATGCGTGAACGTCGCTGCGAGCACAAGGCAAAGCACTGCCGTGAATCGAACCATGGTTGGAAGATGCGAGGCAATTGGAAAATGACTCTTGTTGATATGGACGATCGCGGGGCTGGCCGCCGAACGCTGGATCCAGATCTTATACTGTCGTTGGCTCGGGATCTAGTGTTGAGATCCATGTGTGGTACGGCGCAGATGGCGATATTCATCGAGTCATGAGTAACATGTGGTATTGCGATGTTCACTACTACATGTAGTATGCACGGAATGGGTGTGGCCATCAATAGCGATGCTACAGTATAAAGCCACCACACTCTGTCCAACACTCAGGTATCGAATGTGTGATCCAGACTTCTTGTACAAATGTGCAGGCGGAGAAATTCGAGGCTTGGAATGCTTACTCGAGCGCATCTTCCTTGTCTTGCGAGAGAATGAAGTCGATGTAGGTCATGCTAGGAACTTCATTTCTAATATACTAGTAGTTTAAACTACCAGATAGTGCAGTCGTGTATCATCATGTTTGTGTGGACAACATATACAGGTCCAAGCGGAGCAGCATGCGTCTTGAAGCAGAATCGTGACTTCGTCTGTAGTCTTATGACCTGGCTGGTCGTACAACCGTCGATCAGCTTCGCGCAGGTGGGCAGGTCTGCTTATGAGAAACTAATTCTTCCAGCCTCGACGTTTCCATCAACTTTAAAAGCAACAACTCGCTATTGATGGCTGTACCCAGTCCGTGCGTAATGTAATAGTACATCGCCGTACCACACATGGATCTCAACACTGGATCCCGAGCCAACGACAGTATAAGATCTGGATCCAGCGTTCGGCGGCCAGCCCCGCGATCGTCCATATCAACAAGAGTCATTTTCCAATTGCCTCGCATCTTCCAACCATGGTTCGATTCACGGCAGTGCTTTGCCTTGTGCTCGCAGCGACGTTCACGCATGCCAGTCCCGAGGCCCCCGAGGCGCAGGTCGCCATCAGCGCGGAAGAAGTGGTCCAAAACCAGCAAGTGATCCAAGGTCAAGAAGCCACCGAAGGCTACGGCGGTGGCGGCAAGGGTGGTCGCAAGGGCGGTGCCGACTGCGACGATAACGGCGGCGGTGGCGGCGGCTGGAACTCTGGTGGCGGCGGTGGCTGGAACTCTGGCGGTGGCGGCGGCTGGAACTCTGGCGGCGGTGGCGGCGGCTGGAACTCTGGCGGTGGCGGCGGCTGGAACTCCGGCGGCGGTGGCGGCGGTGGCTACCTCCGCAAGGTCTAAACTCGTCGAACGCCAACTCCGTGTACCGCCCTCTCTTGCGTAACTCGTCTCAATACAACCGTGGTGTTCTTTTCAAGGGTATTCTCTCTGCGAAGGATACAACGACGGCATCGTCAGTAGCCCACTGCATTGCATTCGTCGTCGATGGATGTCTTGCGATCGTCGATTCGACACAAGCGATTAGCGACGTGTTCAAGTCGCGAGCAAAGTCTCAAAGCCTTTTCGAGCAAATTCAGTCCGAGAAACTCAATTCATTTCATTTTCAGAGTCGTCTCAAAGGGTCAATTCATTGCCTTGCGGCTGTGCACCAAGATGCGCTGAGCACACGCGTGCCTGCGCGTGGAACCGAGAACCTTCAGCGCATGCACCCACGCTTGTATGACCCAGAAATGACGAATACGCTGTCATATAAGTATAGGTGTGCTTGATCTTCTCGCTCGATGGTCTAAACTCAAAAACAGCAATTAACTGATTTATAAAAAGACACGGTTGGACGTGCACCATGCGGGAGGTCGTCGCCGTCGACCATCTCGCGTGCGTCAACGCCTACTACTCCAGCATGCGCGTCTCGCTGCAGAGTCTCCGCGCTCCGATCGAGCCCTACGCCCGGGCGTCGACGTCGAAGAAGCGCAAGCGGTCGAAAGCGGCATCGTCGCACAACCCCGAGCCGCCGCCGCCTGCGTTGCTCGCCCACTTGGAGGAAGCGCGCTTGCTTGTCCTCGACGCCGTTGTCGCCCAGGCCACGCCGCTGGCGCTCCCCGTTCTCGAGCGCATCGACCCCATGCCGCAGTTGCTGGCCGCCTCGGATGGCCTTGCCGCCAACGACACGGACGACGATGGCCTCGTCATGCAGGAGGGCCACCAGTTCCTTTTGCCGCGCCGGTCGACGTACTTTCTCGGCGACGTTCGGAGCGTCCAGGCGGTTGATTTGCCGCGTCCGTTCCGCCTCATTGTGATCGACCCGCCATGGGATAACAAGAGCGTCGCCCGCAATGGCACGTACGCCACGATGCACGAAGCCCACTTGCTTCCGCTGGCGCCGTTGCTCTCCGAGTCGATGGACCCGGCAGGCTGCATCGTTGCGATCTGGGTCACCAACAAGCCGGCGTACATGACGTTTCTTCTTGACGCGCTGCTGCCGGCGATGGGCATCGACTCGTCGTGCCCGCGTGCCATGTGGACGTGGCTCAAGGTCGCGACGACGGGCGAGCCCGTGACGCCGCTCGCGTCGACACACCGCTTGCCGTTTGAGCGCCTTGTCGTGGCCGCGCGAGGCCCCGCCGCCTTTTGCGACGCCTTCCGCGCACTTCCCGAGCAGACACTCGTGAGTGTGCCACTGCGCCATTCGTGGAAGCCGCCCATCGACCACCTTTTCCCGTCCACTCTTTTGCCATCGGCTGCATCCAAGCTCGAGCTCTTTGCCCGCGAACTTCGACCGTACTGGACGTCGGTCGGCAACGAGGTAAGAGATGACAACCTGCGTTGCAAGGACTCTATTGACGTACGCGTATGACCATGTGAGCGTAGGTGCTCAAGTTTCAAGACTTGCGCCTCTTCACGCTGGCGGCCGACGACGACGACAAGGGTGCTCTGCGCGATGCGAGCCTCGCGCTAGACGACAGCGAGGACACGTAATACGGATGCTTTGGTGGCACAAGATTGTTTTCCATGCATTCCGGCGCTCGCACGCACTGTGCTTTCATCAGCTGCGTAATACAAGCTGTACTATCAAGAGATCGTGCCACGGCAGAAAGCCCGTTCATCCTAGAGACGTGATAACACCGAGGCTCTGTGCCACACGTTGTTTATTTTTACGCGCCGGTGGGTATAGCGCAGGATTGGATCAGGTGCTGGAGGCCATGGCGCTCGTCCTGTGGTTGACGTGTCGTCGGGATGGTTACCCATGTTCTGGTTCCTGCGAAAAGGCGCCTGCTGGCGCCACGTCACACACGGTCGTTTGCTGCCGATTTTCGATCCGAAAAGCCGATTTTGGAGCCGAAATGCCTATTTTCAGCCTGCAATTCGGATAGACGCACCTGAAAAGCCAACGGCGCAAGTCCTGATGCCAGCGTCCTGGTCGCTGCCGATTGGCCAGCGCGTTGACCAACCAATTTTTACAAGTGATTGGCTCTCCCTAGAAGGTGGTCCGTGGAAGCGTTCGGTACAATTGCACTCGCCAGCTCCGCAGCATGACGATGTCCTTCAAGAAGCACGACGCCGCCCCCAAGCGCAAGCGCGACGAGCACGAGAACGCCGCCGGCAAGCCGGCCAAGGTCGCCAACACGGCGCTGACCGCGAGCACTCCGGCGGGCGCGGCGTGGCGCGCCGAGCACTCGATCACGATCCACGGCCCGACCGCCGACTACGCGTGCCCGGACCCGGTCCTGACCTTTGACGACACGCCGTTCTCGAGCGAGATCAAGGCGTGCTTTACGCGCGCCGGGTACACATCGCCGACGCCGACGCAGGCGCAGTCGTGGCCCATCGCGCTGACCAAGCAGGACATGATCTCGGTCGCCAAGACGGGCTCGGGCAAGACCGTGGGCTTTCTCTTGCCGTCGTTCTACCACATCTCGAAGAACACCAAGCCGACGCGCGACCCGCGGATTTTGGTGCTCGCACCGACGCGCGAGCTCGCGACGCAGATCGAGGCCGAGGTCAAGAAGTTCAGCCGCGCCAAGCCGTTCGTGCGCTCGGCGTGCATTTACGGCGGTGCGCCCAAGTACATGCAGATCCGCCAGATCGAGATTGGCGTCGACTGCCTCGTCGCGACGCCCGGTCGCCTCAACGACCTCCTCGAGTTGAAGAAGGTCAACCTCCGCTCGATCGAGATCCTCGTCCTCGACGAAGCCGATCGTATGCTCGACATGGGTTTCGAACCCCAGATCCGGAAGATCATTGCCGAGATCCCGACGCAGCGCCAGACGCTGCTCTTCAGCGCCACGTGGCCCAAGGCGATCCAGAAGCTCGCGCGCGAGTTCCTCACCAACCCGGTCCAAGTCGAGATGGGCGACATCAACATGCTCCAGGCCAACAAGGACATTGTGCAGAACGTCATCATGTGCGACGAGAGCGAGAAGCACGTCAAGCTTGCCGAGCTCATGGACAAGGTCGTCAAGATGGAGAACCCGGACAACAAGGATTTGACGCAGCACGTCAAGACGATCGTCTTCTTCCGCACGAAGCGCACGTGCGACCAGTTCGCCAACCACTACTGGAACGACGGCTTTGCGGTCGGCGCGCTCCATGGCGACAAAGAGCAGCACCAGCGCACGCTCACGATGAACCAGTTCAAGATGGGCACGATCAACCTCCTCTTCGCCACGGACGTGGCGGCGCGCGGCCTCGACGTCAAGGACGTCGGTGTCGTCATCAACTACGACATGCCCGGCGGCCAAAACGGCATTGAGGACTACGTCCACCGCATCGGTCGCACGGGTCGTGCGGGCGCCAAGGGCCAAGCGTTCTCGCTCTTCACCAAGAGCGACACGGGCTGTGCCAAGCAGCTCGTCGATATCCTCACCGAGGCCCAGCAAGAAGTGCCCGCGGACCTCGCTGCGTTGGCCGCCACCAAGCGCGGCAACATGAGTCGCGGTGGGAACCGTGGCCCCCCCAAGAGTGCTCGTCGCTTCTCTGGCCGTCGGTTCTAGAGCTCAATCAATCTAATAATTTCTAACTAACTAAATGCAACTAACGAGATGTCATCACGATATGTTCGCCTTGGGTGTCCAACCACTTATCTACCGCGAGATAATAGTGTCTTCACTACGCAGGACGACAAGTGGGGAGTTGCTGCCCCGCGAAGAAGGGTTTGCCTCGTCCTCACTGGTTTGGAAAGAACCTCCTTGTGAGCGCAGACACCGGTGCTGGATAGCTCTTCCACTTTTGGGAAGCAGCCCGCGCAGGCTTGAACGACGGCGACCGCCAATACATTATTGTAGATGCGCCACTACCGCTTCACGAGTGCGTGCCCTTGGACGCCACATCTCGTGGCCTACTCGCGGCCGATGCTGAGCGCGGTGTGTCGATGCCGTGGCGACGCGAGCTAGTACCGTTGCTAGCAGTGCATGGATGGATACTCTTGTGCATTTCATGTATTACTGTATATAAATTGGTATAAAATCAAATGCAACCGAGATCGCCCGTTCTAACGCGCTGGGATCACCGTTCGAGGTGGCAGACCTTGGAGAGGCAGAGCCAGATGAGGCCTTGGAAGATCGCGAGCATCACCAGAAGCGCAATCAAGTCGTCAAACCGGTTGGCGTAGTCGTACGCGCCGTTGAAGAACTTGGTGACGAACGCAGTGACCGTGATCGGTTCCTTGGTGAGGCCGTCGAGCACGAGGCGGACGTCGCCGTGGAACTGCGTGACAATGATCGCCTCGACCGTGTAGTGGAGCGGGCAGAGCCAGTACATCCACTGCCACCCCGAGACGAGCGTGTTGGCGTCCATGAAGAAGCCGGCGAAGATGAACATGACGCCCGAGATGGCGCCGCCGAGCAGCACGGCGACTTGGTGCGTCGAGACAGCGACGGCAAAGAGCTGGCCAATGAAGGACCACATCGCCATCGAGAGCGTCACGATGAGCCAGTACCACGTCCACGCGGTCGTCTCGGCCGAGAGACCGACGCTCCAGTAGAGCCCGTGCACGTAGACGGCCGCGAAGAACGCGACGTAGACGAGCTCGACGAGGAAGATGACGAGGACGTACGCGGCGGGCGAGTACATGTTGGAGAGGCGCTCGCGATAGTAGACGCCGCGCAGATGCATCGTGAACGGAATCGCTGCCGAGAGGAAGCTCGAGCAGATGAAGGACGACGAGACGTTGATGAGCACGAGGCGGGACATGACGTCCGTGACCGTCGTGACCGTCTGCCCGGCGTACATGGACGTGAAGACGAGGGCGAGGACGATGACGAGGATGAGCCGGGACCGGTTGAACGACGGCGACCGCCAGTAGATGACCCATTGGCGCTGCAGAAGCGCGCGCACTTGCGCAACAAACGACGCCGTGAACTGGTCCGTCTTGGTCATGACGCTGCCCGTCGGCACCATGGCCTTTTGGAGCATCTCGAGGTTGTCCTTGCAGAGCCAGCTCTGCGTGTAGAGCTGCGCAAAGTCGAGGTGGCCGGGGACCGTGCCAGCGCCGATGCAGTTGAGCATGTACGTGGCGGGGTTCTCGCTCGGCTGCATGGGCGGCACGTCTTCAAACTGACCAAAGTACTCGAGCATGTCCGACGACTCGAGACCGAGTGGGCCGTAGTAGACGAGGCGGCCGCCCGACTTGAGCAACAGCAGCTTGTCAAAGAGTTCGAAGAGCACCGTCGACGGCTGGTGGATCGTGCACACGACCGTGCGCCCCGACTGCGCAATGCGCTTGACGCACTCCATGACGATCGTCGCGGCGCGCGAGTCGAGACCGGTCGTCGGTTCGTCCAAGAAGAGGATGCTCGGGTTCGAGAGGAGCTCGCCGCCAATGGTCACGCGCTTGCGCTCGCCCTGGGACAAGGTCGCGATCTGGTCGTGGGCCTTGGCGTGGAGCTCGAGCATGACGAGGACGTCGCGGACGAACACCGTGCGCTGCAAGGCCGTGGTGTGGCGTGGCATGCGCAGCGCCGCGCAAAACTGGAACGCCTCGAGGACCGTCGCCGTCTCCTCGTAGTTGTCAAACTGCTCGCAGTAGCCCATGAGGTTGTTGAACGTCTTGCGGTCCATCGGGTGGCCGTTGACGACGAGGTCGCCGTCAATGACACCGGCCGTCTTGCGCCCGGCGATGACGTCCATCAAGGTGGTCTTGCCGGCGCCGGACGACCCCATGAGCGCCGTGAGCGTCCCCGGTTCAAAGCAGCCGTGGATCCCCTGCAGCAGCTGGCGACTCGTCTTTTGCTTCTTGACTTGGATCGTGTACGAGAGATCGCGGAAGGCGAGCGTCACGGGTGCGAACGCGAGGCTGTTGAGGTCGCTGCGCTCCGACGGCACCGAGAGAGACGCGGCGTCTGGCGGATGGCTCGCCGTGTCCTCAACCTTGTGCGTAAAAGCGTGCTGGTGGCGCACGCGTGCATAGGCCACCATCGTGAGGAGGCTCAAGACGATCGCGTAGCCGAGGAGGAAGACGAGGCCGAGGCCAATGTAGGCGCTGTTGGTCGAGAAGCCCATGGCGCCAAGGGCAATGTCGCCGATGCGCCCGCGACCTGGAATCACCGTGTCGTACATGGGGCGGCTCGAGAGGTACTCGTTCTGCGCCAGCGTCCGCAGCGCCCACGTGATCGGGTTGGACCAGTAGAGCCAGATCCACCCGGTCGCGATCTGGGCTTCCGGCTGCACAAAGCCGGCAAACATGAGGTGCATGAAGATGCCAAAGAGCGCAATGACCTTGGCCAAGACGCCGTCGACCGAGACGGACGTGATGAACTTGAAGAACTGCACGTAGCAGAGACTCACGAGGTACATGGTCGCGAGGCAGACGAGGTAGTGGCCGCCGGTCGGGTTGAAGTCGGCGCCAAAGTAAAAGGGCACCGAGAAGAGGACCGCTTGCGGCAGCGTCCAGACGACTTCGAGGAGAAACTCGGAAATGACGATCGTCGAGACGGGGAAGAACTTGAACTGGAGCTGCTTGTAGAGCACCTTTCGGCGCT